CCCCCCCTCCCACCCCGCCGTCCCCCAATTCGTTCCTCTCCGTGACTACGTCCTTCCGTCCAACCCCTCCCTGTCCGACCTGCCCTCCCTCCCTCCCTTTCCCGCCCTTCGTCCTTCCCTCTCCCTTCCTCCCCACCTCCTTTCTTGCTCACGTCTGGTCCTCAGAGCCCGTCATTCTCCTCAAGGACGACGCTCGGTACTCCAAGTACTTCAAGATGCTCAAGATGGGAGTCCCGAAGCCTGCTGTGAAGATGAAGATGGTGAAAGCGGCGGTTGCTGCCCTCCTACTCGCCCCTCACTTGGTTTCAGTCCCAGGAGGGAGTAGACCCGGAAATGATCGAGAGGGACCCGGACTCGCCAGCCCCCCCCGGTGACATTCGTTCTCTCCATCCTATCCGACCTGACGCTGTTCCGTCAAGGCGCAAAACTGCCGGAGGAGATGCGAGACGACTCGGACGAATCGGACGACTCGGACTGAAAGCAAGGGGTGGAGGTCACGAATCAGCTAAATTTACAGTCGAAAAGCAGCGAAAAGAAATTGATCTGCAGAATCCTTCGCCGGAGAGGGGGCAAGAATGGCTCCTTGCCTTCATGCGTGTGTCTTATCTAAGTTGCAGCTTCCTTCCTTAGAGGGAACGGAGGCCTTTCACCTTACTCGGGCATCCCCATGAACTGGCTCATGTCCATTCCATTCATGCTCTTCATGAGATTCTGCGAGCACGCGGCAACGTCAGCTCTCGAGCCAGTACGCAACCAGACGCTCGCACCTGCAAGCCGCTCATGCCACCGATCTGCTTGAGCATTCGTGGGTCGAGGCACTTGCCCATTTGTTGCATCGCCTGTCAAGCATTGAGAACAGGAATCGGCAGAACGAGGGCAGGGGACCTGCTGGGGATTCCTTGTCATTTGCGGCATCTCACCATTCTTGCCGATCTTGAGGTGCTTCATTTTGGCAATCTGCAGGTCTCGGGTCAGCCCCTCCACAACCGTCGCATCTCGTCTCACCATCTTCTGGAACCTCTTGAACTCTTCAATCAACTCCCAAACTTGCTGAGGGTGGCTTCCTGACCCTTGAGCAATGCGGAAAACCCTCGTGTCCGTGAAGATCTTGTTCACGTTCTCCGTGTCAAGCTCTGCGAGGAAGGGCTCTCAGATGGCATCAGCGACACAGGACAAGGGCTGCCGCACCATCATCAGTCATGGAGTCCATGATGGTCATAAATTTCTTAAATCTCTCCTGTGATCTTGTCAGGCGGTTCAGATGAGATCTCTCCGCTGCCCACCTGGGACTCATGCTCTCTTCCTTTCGTCATCAGGGCGCTCATTCCCGGGATCATGGACATAACCTATCGATCAGGCTCAACTGCTGACCAGCAATCAACGAAAATGTTGACCTTGCCGATAGGCCCCATCTTCATGACATTTTGAAATTGCTCATACATATCCCTAAGTGTGAACACGCCCTGGCCCATCGAGTGAGATCAAAAGCGGCACAAGCATCTCGGCGACCTGTGACAACTTCTGGTACAACTCAGGTTGCTTGTCTAAGCCCGCATCCTGCCGACATGCTCAAAACGTGTCCTGCCACGAGCTCATCATGTGAGATTCACCTTGATGGCGTTCATGAGGCCACCAACATCCCCCAAGCCCAGAAGTCGAGAAACAAACGACCGGACCTTTACGCGAAGACATCAAATCAACCTTGCTTCAGGACATGATGTAGGAATACTACACCTCAAATGTTTCAAAGTCATCAAAATGTTCTCCAGTACCTGCAGGACTGTGTTACACATCCCCTGCAAGCGCATGCAGGACGAGCATCACCAATAAAGACAATGGGAGAGCTCGTGGCCGCAACAGCTGAAAGCGCACCACCACCCTTAGCATGTCTGCATCAGAAACACAAGTGAGCGACGTAGCACAACAGCTCAAAGACAGAAGGGGACAAGTGTTGCTAAATACCCATCAAGCTTCGTCATGATCACAGATCCTACACTGACTGCTTCTTTGAAGGCAGTAGCCTGTTCCACGGGTAATCAATCGCATGCATTGGCACACTGAGCATCTCGTTTGCCTGATCATGCGCTGCTTGACCAATGGAGCTGTCCAGAACGAAGACAATATCGTCCGGCTGTTTCACGTTAACCGGCTTCATCGGAAGTTGCCTGGGCATACCTCCACTGCAGCTGCGATCTGCTGCATTTCTTCAAACAGGGAGGCTTCCTGCTTGTGCCTTCCACTGGTGTCAACAATGATGATCTCTTGGCCCTGAACGAGCCACCATTGTCACCGCCTGCGCTCTAGGGCTAGGGCAGCTTACCTCCTTCTTAAACATTTCGACACCGTCGCGTGCAATCTTAACAGGGTCACGCTCCGTGTAGCTACCTGCAAAGCAGCGCATCAGCCAGTTCTTTACCAAGACCAGAGGCGGTTCGATCCTCACCATAGAAGGGAATTCTCGCTTTTGTAGCGTTTTGCTTCAACTGATCGAAAGCTCCCGCACGGAAAGTGTCCGAACACACCAGGCAAGTCTTCCAGGATTTGCGCTGGTAGTGAAGTGCATACTTGGTACACGAGGTTGTCTTTCCGCTTCCCTGGAGCCCGACAAACATGATGACGTTTGGCTTTCCCTTCTTGGGCTGATAAGGCTTCTTGCCAGGGTTCAACATCTCGCAGAGCTCTTCGAACACAGCTTGCTGTATCATCCTCCGTCGGTTCAGACCCGTGGCTAAGTCCTCCAGGTTTATGCGGTTCTTCACGTTCTTGCGCAGCGACGAAACAAGCTTCACATTCACATCTGAAGAGAGCAGCGCCTAACAAGCAGATAAGAATTGTTCTTTACGATCGCATAGGATCCTCACCGAAGAAATCTCTTTCAACATGTTGTCCACTGCCTCCTCATCAATCACAGTCTTCGATGTCATAGAACGCATTGCTTGCGCAATGCGCCCTCCAAGTTCGGCGAGAACCATGTTTCGATCAGATTCTAGAATGAAGGACAAATCAGTTGCAGCGCACCAAGCGTGGCATGCCCTAATCACAAAGTTTCATGCCTTGGGTCCCCTAAAAACTTTTGAGGTACGAATCAAAGAGTATAGATGGGACATAACTATCTAGAAACAAGAAACAAAGCTGAGATCGGGGCTGGTACATGCCTCATCACTCGTCTCTTGTATACTGGTGTGCTTCTTTCGTCAAGGGTCAACCAACACCAACATCGAACAACGCCACCAGACCACTGATGCTGCATCAGAAAGCATGCTGAACCAACAGCCAAGCAGAATCAATCACGTCAACAGACCCTATAGCTTACAAACAGCCAGCAAAGGAAAGGTGATCCACGACTGCGCGCTGCAAGTAGAGCTGACTGAACATCGTATGCAAGTGGAAGCAGTAGTTGACAGAGAGAGACACGAACATGATAGAAGTATCGAAAAGGAAGCCAGAGGAGATAAGATGACGGGCATGGCATGGCATGGCGAGGACAAAGCTACACTCCTGCGCTCCAACTTTTGCACTTCGCTGCCTAAACCAGCCACAAGGAGATGGGATGATGTGGAAGGAAAGCAGGCGGCATGAGCAGCCTAACAATCAGGAGGAGGGCCAGGAGAGAGGACAAAAGGACCGTGTGTCATGTAAGGAGAGCACGGAGGAGGAGGAGGTGGTGGTGGAGGTGATGTTGGAGGATATGAGCACAGGGACACGAAGGTTGCGGGAGGCCATAGGCGACTCACGTGGTTGGGGCAATCGGCCTGTTTGAAGGGGGTGGGGGTGATGAGGGTAAGTGGGTGGGTAGCCTTGTTGTGAAAGGTATTGAATTTAGAGTTGGTGGGTAGATGTTGACAATGGTGAGGTGGGGTGTTGGAATCACTTGGGAATAAGAGGGGTAGTTTATGTATAATGTGGGGGTGAGGGTAGTCTTGGGTTGATTGGATGTGGAGTGAAACCTGTATGGGGTAGGGTACCAGCAGACAGATGGAATCATCGAAATTGAGGTGTGAGTGTAATGATTAATCTAAATTATACTATAATTGTTCAAATTATGAAGAGTGAATTTAAATTTTTCTAGGAAGATTTGTGCCTACCCTGGGCGATATGCTGTTTGATAAGGCGTAAACCATAGGTGGGGTGTACTCCTTTGAAGGTAGGGGTTGTCAGTTCTTTTAGGATGGGTAGCAATCGAATATTGAGGGGTAGAGGTGATACATCACGGGTCAAATAGTACTTTGAAGACAGGAAAATGAGGGGTACAAAAACTCATGAATGATGAAGGCAGGGGTAGGGTTGGCATTGTAATGGTGAAGGGGGTAGGGTGAGGCTGGATTGGGGTGGTAATCCGTCGATGGTGGGCGGGAATGGAGACGCGAGTAAGCGAAGGGTAGAAGAGGAGGAGAGCAGAGAGAGTAGAAGAAGGGGGAGGAGTTAAAGTGAAGAAGCTGGAAAGGAGCTGATGATGCAGTTTCTTCTTGAGATACACCAGGAAGCACATGCGCTTTGGTTGAGGAGCTAGGAGGAGACAGAAGCACGAACACGACGCGCGAAGGAGAGTTTGAGCCGCTCGGTGGAAACGAGACTCCAAGATTTGATCCCCTGATTGGAAATGGCGGAATCTGTGAGTGTAAGTGGACCCACGTCCGAAATGTCGGAGACACCCCAGGTATCACAAGACTGGGCTTGCTGTGAAGGAGCGTCGAATGTAACGGGGCCTGTCGTACTGCAGGTGCAACCAAGCTATCCACCAAACTGGTGGGAAAATTTCGACTTCAGAGAAGGGATCTCGTGCGAGGCATGCGCTGACAACGAGTGGTGGGAGGTCAACGTCAGGAGGTGTGAGAACAGTAAGGTGAGCCTTGTACACGAATTTGATGGATCCACAGCCCTCGGGCGTGCTACCGGCTGAGTGTGTCCAATTGTCAGGTTCTTGTTCGCTATGTGGGCGCGACGGATGAGGATGACGAATGGCTGGACATCGACGGGGACAGGATCAGACCGCCAGCAAAGCCGGCAGGGAATCGATTCTTTCAGGTGGGGCGGGCCATTGAGTCGAGAGGTTCAGCGAGATGGGTTGATGACTCTTTGTTGCAGATCGGGAACCCAGTCCGGGTGCTGTTCGATGATGGGATCTGGTACCCCGGGACCATCGCAGAGTTCAAGGTCATGCCCACGGAGACCGGCAGGGTTGAAGAGCAGTTCACCATCGACTTTGACGATGGTGAGAGGCAGCATTTCAAGTTGCCTGATCCGGATGTGAAGTTGAACATACCGCAATCCGACCTGATCGACTCCCTGACCCGGATCAAGAAGAATGCAGAGACAACCGTTGACGAGTATGCTCACAAACGTGAGATGAACGAAACGATACACAGCAACCTGCGGAGTATGATCAAATCGACATGGACGGCTGTCGACAAGAAGATCCGCAGCGGCAAAGGGGAGATTGAGACTGAGACCCAAGTGGTCAAGGAATTCATGGACTTGCTCAGAAGCAAGTACATCACCTGTGATGTGATCGAAGTACGGGAGTGGCAGTATTTGTGCAAAGTGATAGACCCTCCTCCCCGGAAACCTGTCTCAAAGATTTCTTACACGACGCCGTGGATTGGACCGAATCAACCTAGTGCACTGCCTAACGACAACTCCCCGTATCCAAGAATGAAGCCTCCCGCTGCCAAGGAAGCCTCGACGCCGACGACTCCACGACTAAAACTGTTTACTCGAGACGATTGTCCAGGAATTATTCAGGAGAATGCACTGGTTGAATTACGAGATGAACATGATAATGCATGGGGAATCGGTCGCATTGCCGAGGTGCCCATCGGCAGGGACTTTTCTCAAGTGAAAGTGAGGATGGAACTACATGAAGATGTTGTGAGTTGCAAGGTCTCCGCAATCAACCCGCTTCGTGCGAATACTCCTGTTGAAGTAGAGCTCGATAGCTCTTGGTTTCGAGCGAAGGTCAAAAAGTTCGAAAATGGGATTTACGTGCTTTCTATGGACGAGTCACAAGATATCAAAGTTACAGAAGAACATGTTCCTTGTGCGTCTCAGTATATCAGGCTTCAAAGAGAAATACCGTCAGGCAGAAAAGGCGAGATGGTTGAAGTCAGGAACAAGCATGGCAACACGAAAAGGAAGTGGGTCCCAGGTGAAGTGATCTCCATCACCGATGGGGCAGGGAATGACAATGAACTGTTGCTCTCTGTAAAACTTCAGAGCGGAGAAGAAATCAAGGTTCCTTGGAACACAGAGCACGCTCGATTGAGTGAGGAAGAGCGATCGAAGGTCAAAGCTGGTTCGCAGCTTGAAGCAGCACACCTTGCTGAGGAGCTGACTCTGAAGGAAATGAAGGATTTTGGTGACGACGATGTCTTGTCATGGATGAAAGTGAAGGGTATACTCGGCATCAAGACTGATGGGTCACTCGCAAGATTGGAGTATTTGGTGCATCTTGGGGAGGAGGAGGAGAAGAATCCCAAGTCGATCGAGCTTCCTCCGGGTGGAATATACACTGCAACTGATGGAGAGCGAGTCAGGGACATTGCAAAACGCTATGGTGTGAATTTAGCCAAGGTTCTGGAGCTCAACAGTCATTATGTTGGACTGCAAGCCAACTCTCGCTTGATTCACAACACCAAGATAATTTTACCACCCCGGTCGCACCTACGATGGCTGTCGGGGGTACCACAATGTACAGAATTCCGTGCCCTGCTTTGCGACTTTCTAAATAGAATTTTTCCCAAGGGAGAAATTTTACATCCTTACATGGCCGATGTGCCTGGAATCGTCTTTAAATGGGGTACACAAGCAGGCAAGGATGCTGCAAAGCATAGTAATAAGGGCAGTGATATCGAGAAAATGAAGATAGATGGAGTCAAGGTTCTGGGCAACAGTCGCTTTCTCCGCACATCCTACGTTGGAGTCAGTGGCAACGAATTTGACTGGAATCTTTGGATGCCTGTCAGTGAAAGATACTATCTCGAGATAGCAGAATTCCTGTTCAAAACCGTTGGTGCAGTGTCATTGCACTTGGGGAAGCATCGTTTCGAATCTATTTTGGTCTCAGGAAATTTGATCAAGAGGTATCACGAGGGGAGGACATCCACTCTTTCTCGCAAGCAACAGCATGTCAAAGACGATGACGACGATGACGATATGTTTTGTGATCACGAGCAGTTGACCGATGCTATGGATGAAAGCTATGAGGAGGAGGAAGATAAATCTGGGAAACGTAATCACATTGAAAATGACAACGCTGCTGTTGTCGAAACCAAATCTTCAAAAAAGCACAAGCAAGATGGAAACTCGAGAGAATCAAAAGGTGGAGACAAGGGCAGGTCTCAAGGCAAGAGAGCATCGGACTCAGATAAGCAGGACGGGCCCGGCGCAACATCCGTGGACTCTGGGGGAAAGGAGAGAGGAAGGAATGAGGGGAGCACTGCCAAGACGAGAGCTGGATCGAGCTCTCATGTTAATGAGGAGAAGCTGAAATCAATTCTCAAAGGTGATGCTCATCAGTCTGAATCAAATGAACCCAAGGAAAATGCCAAGAGTGACAAGGCGGCCGACTCGAGTAGCTCCCAAGGAAGGGGTGGCAACAAGCGAAGAAAAGTCAACGATGGAGAGCAGGGCTATCTCCTCCTCCGTGGAGGAGACCCAGACCCAGGGGAAGGTGTTCCAGGCAACGGAAACCACGATGTTGAAGAAGTCCAAGGATCATGGCGGAATGATGGGAGGAGGTCAGAGAGCAAAGGAAAGTCAACAGTCCCAAAGGACGATGTCTCCGAGGCAGAGACTGGCTCACTGGGTGCTCCTAGTCCAGAAGCAGTTTCTCCTATGCACCGACAAGGATCAGAGAGTGAGTAGACACCCTCTTGTCCTCCAATTCTCTTTATACCGAAATCCACCGTCCCTCATCACACGTGTCTCTGATGCCCTTCTCATTAGGATCCTTCGGTGCCGGCTCGTGGGGAGATGACGAGGGGGACGGTGGGCAAGTGAACACCCCCGGGGATGCCCAGAGCTTGGTGGAGGAGACTCAATCGGTACCTTAACAGGTTGATGTGATCGGTGTCTCTCTCATGTCAACGGCAGGTGGTCAGTGTCCACTACACGGCCGGGTCCGTGAGTGGGACCAGCGACCCTGGAGGGCATGGTGGCAGAGCTCCGAGTGACGTGGGATATGTCGGGGATGTAGGGAACGTTTTCAGCGCCAGCGGAGAGGACGACGAGACCGCGAGCGAGGCATCGCGGTCAACGGCCGCAACAGGTTGCTCTCCGTTGCTGCACAGCTCTTGGACTGACGCGCGTGAAGCATCGACAGCTGCAACTGCTGCTACGGCCGCGTCCACTGCGAGTTTCGCTACCACGGCAACGGTAATGCGAGGAGCGACGGCGAAGTGGTGGGTTGTGACGTCTTGCTCCAGGCGGCGACCTTCTTGTCGACGTACTCACAGATCAGCACAACCAGCCAGCAAGTGAGCGCTGCTGGCGGGATCTGAGAGGACTCTGTGTGACTTTTCTGCAGGCGGCCCCCAGCCCTGCACACCTCCCCCCTCCTGTCCCGCAGTATCCATCCGATGGCGCCGAGTTGAGTGAGGTAGTTCCTCCCTCAACCTCGAGCCCCTCGCCCTGACGCATGCACCTGCAGGTTGCAGACCTCACTGACGTCCACGACATGGAGGAGGAGAGCGTGCGAGGCAGGAGCCACACGCCTGGTGCTGCTTCTTGCACATGAGTGTCAAACTTTCCAGTGACCCTGCTCGGCAGCTTCCGTGGCTTCTGATCGCCATGCGCGTCATGGTGATAGTCATGCCGTCAACTAATCATCCTAGTGCTACCTTGAGTTTTTTGCCGCTCCTTTTGCCCGCGGCGGCTTGCAGTCTGTCAGCCTCACCGATCGAATCAGTAAATTATGTGTCTGAACTTCGGAAATCTCTTCTTCTTCTCTGCCAGTTCAACGGTTCACGGATCATCATGCCAGTTTGGAGGCCGCGATTATGAAAACTTCGGAAGTCTGAACCACAGAGTGCAGAGCGGCCCCGCGCCACCGGGCCCGCCCGGCGCCGGCCGGCCCGGGTGGCCCGTGTGGCGCGAGCCGGGACTTCATCGAGTCAGCCCGGCCTAGGCTCCTGCCCGGCAGCCTGGCCCGGGGCCCGCGAAACTTGCTTCGGAACTTTCGGAACTTTTAATAGTCGGATCATCCGAAGTTTCTCAAGTTTTGATTTTGCTGAGTTTGGGGGTCAGCATGACAGAAAGCGCTCCTGCTGCTCCCCTCCCCTCCCCATCTTCTCTGCTCTGCTCTGCTCTGCTCTGCTCTGCTCTGCTCTGCTCTGCTCTGCTCTGCTCTGCTCTGCTCTGCTCTGCTCTGCTCTGCTCTGCTCTGCTCTGCTCTGCTCTGCTCTGCTCTGCTCTGCTCTGCTCTGCTCTGCTCTGCTCTGCTCTGCTCTGCTCTGCTCTGCTCTGCTCTGCTCTGCTCTGCTCTGCTCTCCCTCTTACTCCGTTCCTCTGCTATCTTTCCCCTCCCCTGTCTCCTTCCCTCCCCTTCCCTCCCCTCTATCCTCCTCTCTCGTCATCGTGTAAATATCCCACATCTTGAAACTTGCATCTTTCATCTCACATCTTGGGTTTCGTCTGTTATGTTTCTCATCTGTTCAATCTCTTTGTCATGCTCCTTGTCTAGCAATGTTGGGACAATACGATCGTCTCGCGTCAGTTTGTTTTTTGAACATGTTCAATATGCGCCTGCCTGTTCCCACTTGATTCAGACCTGTGTTAATTGAGACTTTTCGACCATGTTGGAGTATTGGGGACATGAAAGGGATATTTTGGCAGGATGCTGTTGTCTTCTCCAAACTTGAAATGAGACTAGACATTGGATTGACTGCGAACCTTTTCTTTCACCGCCCGTCATTGATGTCTCCTTCAGACATGGTTGCACACCTGAGGGCGGCACGGTTTGGCTTGGAGTTCTTCAAGTTCTGTCTCTGCCTATCCATCCCAGGTGTCGCTGTCCTAGTTTTCCGGGTATGAAATTTCTCTTGCTCTACGGGATTTGGCGATGGCAATGGTGAACTGACACGTTCGCAGAGGCCCGAAGTCCTGAACAATGTCGTGACAACCACCCACTACATCGTGTATCCTAAAGAGGAGACGCGGGAGACGCTGGTAGGGCTATCAAAACATTTGCGTGATCAATGAATACAAGCCTCTTCTACATTGCACGGAAGCAATCAATACTTTAAGACAACCCCCCTGATTCCCCTAGTAAGTCCTACCAACATGATCACTCTATCTCCTGCTCGCAACCTTGGCAGAGACGGTGATAGCGCTAGGCCGAAGAGCAAGTGCCATCGTCCTGCCCGTTTCTCCGCCGTCATGCCATGGCTCATGGGCTTTCTAGGTCTTCCGGGTAAACAGGATCTTTCAGAGGTATGATAGATTTCTTGTCGACGTCTCGCGGTAATGCCTTGGCGATGAAAGAGGATCAGAATGATAGACAGGGGAAGGGAGGGGAGAGAAGACAGAGAGAGAAGACAGAGAGAGAAGATTGACAGGAAGAGCGGGAGGAAGGCAGGGTCGGGAGAGGATGGCTGGATTACCTTTCTCATATCATACGCATCCTCTTCTCCCGAGTAGTATCCGATGACAGTCCTGCATGAAAAAAAGCTTGAGGGAAGGAAATGATGCAAGGATCGTGACAGGGCTGAAGGGAGAGCACTGACCGATATATCGAGTATCCAAACTTCTGGTACATGTTGATGGCCAGGGTGTTGCTGACGCGAACGAACAAGTCCACAAAGTATCCATCGTGCTTCTTCTCGGAGATTTCCTCCAACTCATTCATGAGGTGATGGGCTGCAAAGTAGAATCATGCTTTCTCGAGGAAGGGACATGCTGGAGGCGTCGGGGTGACGAGGAGGATGGGGTTCGGACTGACCTAATCCGATTCTTCGGAACTCAGGAGCTACTGTGAGGGCTGTAACGTGTCCGTGCCAGTTCTCGCCGAGGCCCTCCGCCTTTCCCATGATGTATCCCATAAACCTGAACTAGTCTCAATGCGCTGACTCGATCGAGCTTGCAAAGCAGTTTGTCACCGGCCCGAAGGATTCTCGGCAACCTGGAAGTACTCAGGCCACTTGACGAGGTACTGCATGTAGAAAGGAAGGTTGTACTGCACGTCTCAAGTCAGCGCTCAGCTCGAAATGAGGAGCTCTAGATGAGGAGAGGGAGAGAGGGAGGGAGGGAGGGAGGAGGGAGTGAGGGAGTGAGGGAGTGAGGAGTTAAAAATCAACAAGTCAAACATCCAAGGACTGAACACGGACCGGGGTGGATGAAGATCGGTAGTAAGTCAAAAGGAGGAGCAAGATCAAGAGCAAAAAGCAGCAGAAGGATCAGGAGAAGGAGGAGCTGAAGAAGGAGCAGGAAGGCCCAGAGTGAGGATGATGAGAAGATGACGAGAATGAAGATGACTAGGAGGAGGAAGCGAGGAGGAGGAGGCAGAGCAGGGCAACGGCAAAGACAAGCAGGAGCAGGAGCAGGAGCAGGAGCATACAGTCTCTGTGAGGTGATCAAGGTTCACGTTGGCGACGCTGAAGAGATCGTTGATGTTCATTGCCCTCAAGCTCGTCATGGTTGCACGCAGACCCACAAGGCGAAACTTTTGAACTTTAAAACTTTGACATCCACTTAAAACGTTGACGTCCAAAACCTCCAAGAACTTCACTTGTATATCGGACTCCGGGCCTCACTCGATGATGCGCGGCCCGGCCCGGCGCCGGGCCCGGCCCTGTGACTCGCTCCGAGGCTCCCCGGCCTCACAGAGTCACTGGGGGCCCCGGGCGGCGCCCGACCGTGACGGCCCGACCAGTACTCAGTCAGTTGGACTTGAACCCGGAAAGTTTGCATCCGAGTTCACGCCGGGTTCAACGGTTCAGGGGTGCCAAGCTCGTGAGGCTCTTCTTCTATTTAAATCAAATTGGCAGCAAAATTTCGAGGATCAAGTCGAGAAAACGCAGCTCGACGATGAGGTTCCGAAGTTCCGTCTCCTCGCGCCTCATGCCCTTTGAAGAAGGTAGTCGACCTCGACCTCCTGCGCGCCAGTGAATGGAGAAACATCATCCACCACTAGACGGAACCACCTTAGTGAGGGGAATGATGATCTCCCGGTAGATCTTTCCCATAGTCTCTGGGTTTACCTGCAGCAGCTGGTCACCTCTTGGCTTCCCTTGCGGCTGTCCAGGCCCAAGGGGGAGGAGCAAACAACCTTGAAAAGCTTCAGCCTGTCCTCGGGGATCGCTGGCCCGTGTACATATGAAGTCTCGTCCGTTATTTCCTGGCCATACGCAGTGGCCTTGTTCTGCACCCTCTTGATAACCTGCGAGGTGATAAGGAGCTAGTCCTGTGGTCCGATCACAGGTTCGGCTCCGCCTCCTCCTTCACCTTCTCCTCCACCTCTTTGTTCGTCAACAGATCCATGATACCCTGCATGATCATGAGAGGGCTTGCTTTCAGTCTTACTCCTCAGACCTGCCGGTCTCCAGCTTTGATGAGTTTCGTGTATTCCTCGGGTTGGCTTCGGAACTGCAAAGGATTGTTGGAGTTCACCATGGTGTTCCTGACCTGTGCTCTGACCTTCGATTCAGCCACGAAGGTGCCGTAATGAATCCTCTTCGACAAAGCCTGAACAGCAAACCTGTCAGGATCGTCTTGCGGAGACTGACGAGGAAGTTCACCTGGAGCGCTTGGATGTCGCACACGGACGAAGAGCCATATTGACCATCGTCGCCTTCCTGCAAGAGATGTCAGTACAGGCACAATCGCAGCCACCGAAAGGGAGATCTGGAAGAGCGTTGAGGAAACAGAGTGAGGGAGGGAAACAATGATCAAGAATGAGGCGGAAAGGATAGAAGAACAGTGTACAAAAACTATTAGTAAGGATATCCTACCTTCGTTACCCACGGCAGGATTGTCGATATGTACAACTCGTAGATCTTGCTGTTCAAATTTACATCGATCGACTGTTATGACGAGCAAAATCGTTTGAGTAAGACCGGGACAGCTGCTTACACAAGCACCTTTAGGTACTTCATCTCCTCGGGCACAACCAAAGGAGGCAAAACAGGATCAGGGAGCTGAATCAACATAGATCGTTACGATGGGAAATTCACAGTCAGCCAAGCGCTTGCCTGACTGCGAGAAGTGAAGGGCTTCTCATCGGGAGAAGTGTATCTGGACGGGGGGTCAGTGAGTTGAGCCGGAGGAGACGAGACGGTATAGACCTCCTAGCTTTTGCATGGATATTCTCAGTTTCTTGCAGCAGGTTCCTCACATAACTCCCACTGATGCCCGTGCCCTGCAAGACGACGAGGTGAGCTGGGGCGTCGATCTCACATCTCACAACTCGTGGACCTTGAGGAATTCGGCATCGTCCTGGTAGATGGCGAGATTCCGCTTGAATTGAGCTCTCTCGATCAGCTGAAAGAGGATCGTGTCTTCCTGTAGCACACGGCACACGTCACACGTCAAGAGCTCTGTGCACTGCCTCCTAGCAGCCGGGCACTCGCCCCCGTCAACGCACCTGTCTGATCAAAGTCGAGCGGATATTTCCCAGCTCCAGGTAATTCCACTCTTGTGAAGCCATCGTACAGTTGTTCGATTCCTTGCGCTCACATCATTGCATGTCAACATGTTTCATCAGGCCTACCTGTTCAAGAGCAAGGGAGCTGATAGCGCAGCAAAGTTGGACTGGTGCAACAAGTAAGAAATCTTGCACCCCCCTCCCAGCAATTCAGCCCCCCCCCCTGCTTCTGCAACCCTCCCTTATGATGCTCACCTGTGAAGAGGAGAAGGCTCGTTGATGCAGCTACGGGCAAACTCCGCTTCAGAGTGGTAGCTACACCGGTTACAATCTTGGCACCCCGTACTCCCTGTGTCACCACGCAAGTCAACCCAAAACGAATGCCCTTGTTCATGACGAAATCGCCTAGCACTGACCCATCCACGTTGGTGAGATTCTCTTCTCTCCTTCCCCTGGTTCCATCCTTCTCCAAATGTCTTCCATCACCCTTTCATTTCATTCAGCTCATTGTCTCACTCGCTCCTTGTGGTGCAAGGGGGGGCAAAGTACCGGCCTTCCCTCCATTGCAAACATTGAACTATTTCATTCCAGCTCCTGCATCTTCCTCTCTATAACATCACTGAAACATATCAAGATTTAACTCCCTCTCTTTCACCTCCTGATCCTTCCCCAATCTTCTATTTCCAACTCTCTTTCGACTCCTCCCCCCGCCACTCCTCCCACAACCCCTTCCTGCCCTACGTCATGGCTCCCTCCCTCCCTCCCTCTACATTTCCCTTCTCTGCTTCCCTGCTTCCTTATCCTCCTCCTCCTCCTCCTCCTCATCATCATCATCATCATCATCATCATCATCATCATCATCATCATCACTATTCAACTTCCTCCTCGTTGCGTTCCATCTTTTTTCCTCCGGCATCCTCTCGCGCTGTCAGATCGTTACAAGGGAAACCGCCATTGTAACTGATCAGTAACGTTGCTATCGACAGGCCCGGCCTTGCCCGGTTGCGCCTAAAGACCGTTACGATGTTTGGAATTGTAACGGTGGGCACGCGGAAATGCAGCTGACAGTGGAAGGGAGAGGACGAGAAGGAGCAGGAGAAGGAGCAGGAGCAGGAGCAGGAGCAGGAGCAGGAGGAGAGTTTGAAGGAGGATGGAGAGGAAGAACAAGGAGGCTGAGAAGAAGGAAGCTGGATGAAGGAACATCAGATAGGAGTTGGGGAATAGAGACGTATTGGCAAGGGAACAGAGAAATTAGTAGCGATGATCTGCATGCCTGTGATGTCTGTTTGGGGTTCCAGGAGAGTGAACAGCTGCAGCACGTAGCTCAAACCCTTGACGAGCACTCAAGACTCCCCTTCATCAGTCATGAAACCTCTCAACATGATATGTCCTGATTCACCACCACATTCACGCTCAACAAACTCACGCTTACTTGCTGACACTAGTGACGCGGCGAAACTCGTTGCTGATTTTGTTTTGTTGGCTGCTCAGGGATGTTGAGGAGTAGACTCATAGGCGTGAGCCTGCAACAGAACGTCTCAAGATTCCTCTCTTCATCCGCAGCTTCAACCCTTCCTCCCCACGCCCAGAAATCGCCAAAACTCTACGAGAACGACGTCCAAGTGGAGAGCAAATTGGGATGGTGAGCTGACCACCGGTTCTCACCCCGCCTCTTAAGTTGTGATCAGGGGGGTTGTGCGCTCAGCCAACGGCAACCTTCCTGTCTACTTTGACATAAGTGAGCTGCTGCGGGGGACAGACCGGGAGGGGGAGCTGACGCTTGTTGCAGGAAACTACAACTCTCGCAAGCTGACAATCATCCGAAAAGTAGTGGAAGTGCTTGCTGCTAGTGCGTGTTGACACCTGCTGCTGTCGCAGATCCTTGGAGACCCGGAGAAGCTTCGGGAGAGCATCTTGAGGGAGTTTGATGTCAGGTAGGGACCTTCCTGGCTTATCCTCGACGGCCCGTCGTCTCACCTTCTGTGAACAGCGTGAACGATGTGGCGGTGAGGGTTGGGCGAGTGGAAGTGAAGGTGAGATGCTCCGACTACCGCGTGATCTGACGTACACGTGCCAAGGGCAAGCGGACAAGAGAGATGCGGGAATGGTTGGCGTCCAAAGGATTCTGAGCCGTTAAGCAGGATAAGACTGGATGTAGTTGATCCTTACAATCTGCTGTGATTTTGAGCTTGTAAGATTCTGTTGATAAGCTGCAAGCAACAAGAACATTCTGAAACCAAGACGTGAATGCGCGAGATTGCTGGTTGTCTGCCGAGCCTCAAACGACAGCCTCGGGAGGGAGCGAGTCTCTCCCCTTGAACGATTCGCTCCCGCTGACCTCGAAAGTGGGACGGCAGCTCCCGTTGCTGCATGTGCCTGCTGAGGGCTCGTCAGTGCTCCTGACTGCCCTGAAAATTGAGGACTTGCCTGTGTCTCCTCCTCCCTTGCACTCCCCTGGGCTCTGGGCACTATGGGAACTTCTGTTAGGTAGTACAGGAGGCAGAGACGACATCGGACCTGCACTGCTCCTCCTCGGGAGTCTCAGCCTGTGACTTGCTCGTCCTCTTGGCTGCTTTCTTCTGGAACTTGGCAAACTTCTCTGCGACCTTCTCCTTCTTCCTCCTCCTCTCCTCCTGCTCGCCTGCACCGTCAGTCTCCTCAACATGGTCCCGCCCGACCGTCTCGCCTCTTCTTCGGCCTTCTTCCTCGCCCGAGCCTCCTCAGCAGCCTGGCAGGGTGACTTCACTGCGGGAGTGTACAAGGAAAGACCCACCTTCTTCCTCTTCTTCTCAGCGTCCTGCGCCCGCTGCTCCTCCACAGCTTCCACTCTCAGGATTTCCTGATGTCCTCGTCACGCAATCGCAGCCGCTAGCAGCGCCTCACCTGAGCTACTTGCTGTGCGCGCGCAGACTGCTGCTCCATCTCCTCCCTGCACAGAGAGTGGGCGCAAGACTGAGACAGCAGGGGAGGATGACAGAGGAAGGCAAGGACGAGAGGGTGAGGAGGTGAATGCACAAGAGGAGGAGGAGGATGAGTAGGAGGAGGATGAGGGGGGGGGGGGGGGGGGGTCGGCTGGTTCCCAAGAGAAAAGATAACAGCGCACCTGGTTCGAACAAGAAGCTCTTCTTCGTTGATCTTTTCTACCATTTGTCTGGCAAATGTTAAGAGTATCCCGACTTTAGCGTTCTGCACCACTGAACACCAGTGCTGTGGGGAGAGAGGAGAATCAGGTTCCTGTAACATGGAGGACAGGGGTCGGAGGAAGAGGGAAAGCCGGCAGCAAGAGGAGGACGAGGCAGAAGAGGCGGGGGGTTCACCAGATTGTCAGGATGGCAGTCTGTACGGTCGATTGCGATACGAAACCCATCGATGACCGGTATCCCCGACACGTCGAGCTGTTGCCTCGTCTCTGCGTTCAGCTGGAGGGAAAGAGGGTGAGAAGGAAAGAGGGGGCAGCTGCTCGCATCCTCGCTGACCTGCGTGATGTTCCTGTTGTGAGCGGCATGCAAGGGTTGGGAGAAGGCGAAGGGCTCGATGAGAGACCAGATCAGGGAGATCTTTGCAGACGCTGCCCTTCCTCCTCCTGTGTAGAACCAGCCGCTCCTCTCGCTCGCTGCCTGCCAGGCCCGATCGACGATCCCTACCGACTCTTGGAGGTACTGCGGGACATCTAGGAGGGGAATGAGGGGGCGGATCGGCTCGGCAGAGGAAAATTTGCGGATCTGCCGCTATTGTTAGGCGATTGAGGCCGAACGGTGAAGGAAAGAACATGAGGAAGGAGGGTGAGGGAGAAGGAGAGCCGGGGAGGAGAGGGAGGGAGTGACTGAGTGAGCGGAGTGGATGTGGTGGTGACAACAAGGCACGGAAGGACAATAACAGCAAGGAACAGGACGAGGCAGAGGATGCTTCAGCAAGGCACAAGCCGACTCACCCCCGGGATTGCGATGCTCATGATGACGAACAAGTACTTGGAGGGGCAGGTGCCTGCTGCCTCGCACGTTCGTCGCACCTCCATCCAGTCCTCCAGCCTCTTCAACGCTCGTTGTCGATCATCGGTCTCCTCCAGCCTCAAGATCACCCGCCCGTCGCACAGGGTCGCCTGCCATGAGTCAAGCCAGGATGACTCCAGCACAATCCCACCTGACCCCCCGTCACTCCCGCGCACTCAAGCTCGAACCCATGCGGCATGCCGGAGCTGCAGGACTCAGCTCGACCGGGGGGGTGCCAGTGCTCGTGGTTCTGCTGGCCGTAGAAGTGGGGGTGGGAGGGGTTCACATACCCTCGAAGGTTCACGTCACGCAGGTAAGCGATGGTGGCGAGGAAGTGGTGCCGCATGCGGCTGTCTCCCACGAAGAGAAATTCTGAGCCCTCCAGGGCCTTGCAGGTTGAGTTGGGGCTCACGTGGACCCCCTGCCCTTCAACGGCTATTGGCGTCTGATCGCAGAGCTTCTCGCAGTAGCTCGCGGCCTTGGAGGGCTTCAGGTGGAACTGCTGGTAGGGAACCTTAGCATGCAGGGGGGTGAACCATCGCCCGTTGGACAGCCTTCGCATCTCCCCCGCTGCATCGAACCCGAGGTCCTTGCAGGCTTGCAAGTACGTCAAGGCAAACTGAACCCTCGACTTGTTCCCCGCCGTCGAGATCCTCTCGTTCCACAGCCTGTAAGGCACGACGTCAAGTCCTCCTCGCTCGGTGTCGGGTGCAGGAAGCAACAGAGTCGTCGGAGCACCCGGAAGGGCCCCGGCGATCTCGACGCTCTTCCACGATATGCCCTTTGGGGGAGGAGCGACCCAGCTGTGGTCGACATACTCAGGGATCCCGAGAGGGATCGGCGCGTTCGGCTCGTCCGCATCTGCCGTGAAGACTTCGAACTCTGTCACCACCGCATTGTTTGCGTCCGAGTCAGCCGCGTCGACCTTGAGGAGGAAGGCTCGAGCTCGAACGGGGCTGAACCTGATCACTACCTCCTCCTCCCCGTTGGTGTAGACGCGATTCCCCACAACTACGGTGTCCAGGGTGGTTGGCTGCATGTCAACTATCGGCTGCCAGTGGTAGTGCGGGAACCAGTGGACAGCAGGAGGGAGCATGTAGCCTGTCGCGTTGGTGTACCAGACCTGGAAGGAGGTCACGTGGTGATCGTTGAACCTCCCAACCCCAGACAGCAAGCGGATCCTGGAGACCCGATAGTCCTGCTTGAACTCGAACATGGCAAGTGCCTTGTCGATCCTCCCGTGCCATGCCCATCCCTCATGCCCCGTGGTCACGCCATCGATCGCCCTGTCGATGGGGTAGAAATCCTGGTTGTACGCTGCCTTCGCCGTCCCTCCGTTGTGCTTCGCAGCAACATTCAAGAACTTGCTGTTCAGGTACTTCCCGAAGGCCGTCGGTCGCGAGGTGAGGATCTTCCCCGTCAGAGGATCGGCGATGGGCTCGTTAGGATCGTGGTAAACTTGAGCATGCGAACAAAAAATGAGCACAGAGAACGTAAGGAGAAATGCAGGCAACGAGCGCATGTTGCAGGGAGGCAGACAAACGAGCTAGGGCTTGTTCCTGTTGGATACATCAGACAGGTCTCAATAAGAATGAAAAATGGAGATGTATGATACTCCTACTACTGCCAAGTGAAGAGAAATAATCGGATCTGGCTACATCGAAATCTCCCTGGTCGCCGCTTCACCTCCACCTCACCCGCCCTCTCCCTCTCTTCATCTCTTGCACCTGCCCACCCTCGTGCTCATCGTGCTACATCCTGCCATCTTCCCGCGCCCTCCTCCCCTCCTCCCCTCCCTCCTTCGCGACTTACCCGCGTCTTCCCTGCCCTCTCATTGTCGTTTGTTGAGCCTCACCCTTGACCGTTAGATGACGTAACTTGATGTAACGGAAACCGTGTTTCAGGTCTGCAACCGTCGATCCGGAACAGTACTGTAGTCATCACTGAGTCGGCCCGCCGGTCCGGGTCTGCGATGCGGAACTTACTGTGAAGCCGCCGGCCCGGAAGGCTTCCGAGTCCTCAGCAGTCTCCGAGCAATCTGCAAGGCCGCTGCCCAATGGTTGCTGCCCCTCGAGACGGTTGAACACTGTTCAACTTTCACCGGGTTGTCGCCGGCAACCGTGAACAGTAAACATATTTATTACAATCGATCGAGTCAAGAGTGAGCAGCTTTCATGCTACTCGTTCAGGGACGTCAGCGTCCCTGGGGCCATACTGATAGCCTCCGACGGCTTCAAATTGGCCATCAGGTCTTCGAGTTGCTCCAGCGTTGTCAGCACAGGATCTTTCGCTTCCTTTCTCACCCTTCTCTTGAGAGGGCTCCCCATGCACTTCATGGTTTCGAAGGTCCTCTCTTCTCCCTGCCTGCTGCTGCTCTCTCCCCACCGCCATGCCGTGCGAGGACGACCAATCTGTAATATCCTTGAGAAAGAGACGGAACCTGAGAGCTAGCAGAGATACCTTGCGAACGATAGGCGATTGTTGCTGTGCAGCAGACTTTGGGCGACTACTTGTATCCCTGGTGGGCTCTGGGGGAGGCTCCCTCCTCAAGCGCTCGAGCCACAGCTCTGACCATCCTCGTCAGGAGGTTTGACACGAGAAGGCGAAGCAGAATGCCTGCGAGGATGGGCTCCTGCAAGATATCTTGAGCCTCGAGGAGAAGTCGCCTTGCGATAGGCAATGGAGCCTTCTCTGATGTTGCATGAGCGTTCGGAGCGAGGGCCATAAAAGCTTGATGAAACAAGAGTGAACAGGCAGACAGCTTCCAGGTCTCTGCGTACCTTTAGGAGTCGAAGGTTTGGATCTTCCTGTTCCCTCTGAGACAGGGAACACATCAGTCAGCAAAACATTGGCGCGGACAGGAAGGGCTTCCAGCCCTGAACTGATCCTACCTTTCTTCTCTGGCGCACTCAAGGCTTTTCTAGCTGTCTTGGTTACTCCGAGACTCGAGTCAAACGGCTTGACATTCACTTTCTTACATGCCACATCTTTGCTCTCTTCAGCATTAGCAACAGGCTCATGGGGTCTGCGGGGAACATGTGTTGCGGCTTTGTGGTGGGTCTGAGGGGCAACAGATCTGTCGTTCTTCATTGATGCTTCCCATCCTGTCGTCGATCAACAAACACTCAGTCTTGAACAACGAGGCATCAGTCTTAACAACACACCACATTTTGTTTGATCGTGGTTTGTTGTCCATCTGAACTCAGGCCTGTGTCACAAAGAATATTTGGGAAGTAAACTTGACGTACATCAAATTCTTGCGCCTTGCTGGGCCTGCATCTTGTACAGGGAAATGTTTCTCATTGTGGGTTCTCGCGCTCTGAACTCTCATGACGTTTTGTCTCGGTCTTGTTCTGATGCCGTCCCCTTCCACTTCCACAACATGTCAAGTCAAAGGCAGCAGAAATGGGAGGAGCGAAGGTACTAACATTTTGTCGACCTAAGTTCATACACTGGTTTGAAGTCTCTTCCTGTGCTGCTCTCAAGGAATCGAGTCTCCCACCAGTTTTCAGTTGCAACCGGGGAGTTCATCTTGTCCTTGTCGTGTTTTTGAGCGTTTGCACGTTTGATTTCTCTTGTTCTGTCTTTTGCAGGAATTTCAATCGGCTTGGCCATGAGAAACTTGTACTGAACCCCATCCTCTTCTTTCATCATAGCTGTATCGCCAGACCTGTTGCGTTGTGAGAGAAGCATGCAGGAAAGGAGACATCATTGAGCATACTTGTGCTCTCGAACAGCCCAAGCTTTATCCTCTGAGTTTTCGGCTTCTCCAGCATATGAGTGAGCGAGATTTGGATCACTTGTGGGCTTCAACATTTGTTCGATTGTAACACCAGGATCTCTCGACGAGGGCAAAGAGACATGAATGCGAGAAGCTTTGAGCGTCAAAGATCGATTTCGATGATCGACATCAGCTGTGCTAGGAGAGTATCCGCGTGGGTTGCCCTGGAAATCATCGGCATGCTCTCCCCTTCTGTTGTCCTCAGAGGTCTCGGACTTAGAGCTCAAGTACAGACCATGATGCTTGTTGAAGTGGTCTCCATGAACCATCAACCTTTGACTAGGGTCGTCCACTTCGCCCTCGGATATCTTGGATGACTTCGTTTCCATGAGCGATTTAGACTCGAGAATAACTGGCCGTTGACAAACTGCTCTATTGAGCAACTGCATTCTCCAGTGCATGGTCAGGTGCAGCAGAACCAACCTCTTTACCAACCGATCATACACCAATTTTCACCCTGTCAACAGATTGGTCACCTTTACACATTGGAAAGCAACAAGTATGGTTGACAATCTTATCAATAGCTCGCTCACACATGGATGTTGAGATTTAGCCTATCGCAGGTATGCAAAATCGTTCTCCATCTGTCTCATGCTAATATTGACTTGTCAAGCTACTCATCTCCTTCCACGTCCTGATCTTTCTGAAAACCCCAGAGCTCATCAGTTGCATCCACAACCTCATCAGTTGCATCCACAACCACATCAGTTGCATCCACAACCACATCAGTTTCATCCACAACCTCATCAGTTGCATCCACAACCACATCAGTTGCATCCACAACCACATCAGTTGCATCCACAACCACATCAGTTTCATCCACAACCTCATCAGTTGCATCCACAACCACATCAGTTTCATCCACAACCTCATCAGTTGCATCCACAACCACATCAGTTGCATCCACAACCTCGTCTTATCAGCTTCTCTCGCCCTCTCTCTGGCTCCTTCATGCTCGCATTGCGAACGTTAAACGCACCACTTCTTGCTCAGGTACGGGGTACCCTACCCTGTCTCTATTCTTGCCAATGAAATAAGGGGGTAGGGGGTGGGTGCGCCCGGGTGTTCAGGGTCTCGAGTAGTACTGACCGTTATCACAAGAGTGAGGATTGTAACGACCATGAGGAGTTTTGAAACCGACGGCAGTGTAACCGTAGTAACCAACTTCTTGACGCGGCCGTTGGAAGAAAGTAACGGAAACCTTTATTATTTCTACTAGAACTCAGTCAGACTACCCACTTCGTGGTCCCTCCACCCCACCCCACCCCTCTGAAACTTCGAGACCATGGCTAGTGTGCGCATGGATCGCAACCCCACCCCACCCTTCAGATATAGACTGTTTCAGGGGGAATCAGTGGGTGCAGAGGGTTCTGTAGGTCTGCCCAAAGTGTGATTGGTAACCCCACCCCTCACATTCGAAAGTTCCGCCCCTCCCTCCTGAACCCCTCAAGTCCATCCTCCGTTAAGTTTGGCATGCAGCGTTTTTAACTGTCGACCGCTCTTGTCCTCTGTCTCATCTTTCATCGCCTTGTCCTCGCCCTTCCCCCTGTCCCGGTAGATTGATACTCGGTACTTGAAGTTGCTTGCGAAGAGGCACAGACCTTGAATGACTCCCTTGTTGTCTTCCAAACTCATTAGCGATGATTTCCTGAAAGACGATTGTGGACGATTCTCAATCTTGATGAGACCTGCCTTTTTTCAGAGCCTTCAAAATGTCTAAAGGAGGAACTGCATTGCAGGTCCTGGATGAAACGTGAGTGCGAGGGAGCGCATTCCTGGTTGCCTTGCTCTGAAGCAGAGTGTACTTGCATCCAGGTGCTTCATCTGCTACTGTTGCTGCCAAGGATGCGGGTGTGCAAAATGTAGCGAGCCCAACCTCTGCACCTCAGAATCAAAGCTCCTGTGCTACAAGGCTCACTCCACGTGCGATTGCGTTGGCCCCTGTGGTCCGGAGGGATGCTGCTTGTCGAGCGTCAAGTACTGCTGCTGCTATAGCATTTGCCAGTTTCCGCCCAGCCCTTGCTTCGTGGAGCTGTGCGGACTGACGTTGTGCGGCGCGAAGAAGGGAGAGAGGTTCGCTCTGTCAGGAGCCGGGAAAGTGCACACGACGGCAGGCAACTTTGGGACGGACACGAGCATGGAGGAGATGCGGCGAGAGGCGGTTGAGGCGATACAGAGCGGCAACTACTCGAAAGCCAAGGAGCTGTCGCTTCTCCTGGAGGCAGAGGAAGCTTCGTTGAGCGCGCCCAACAGCATGTCCGCGTGATGCGGAGCTGGAATTGTAAGGAGGTCGCTGTGCGTGATAGATGATTCTGATGGGCGAGTCAGAGTCACACTATCAGAACCTTGGGCATGTCCTTTCCTCTCTGGCCAGATAACTGCTCAGATGCACATCAGCTGAGTGTGAGGGCCTTCATCGTCTCCCAACCGTGTGGTATCAGGCTGTTCATTGTGTTTGAGCTAGAATTAGTGAAATAAATTGAAACTTTCTAGCACAGCAGGAGCTGGAGATGGTTACGGGCAGCGATTAGTGCAACTGCACGGTGGAGGAGGTCCAGACTTGTGTGGTGTAGACGCTCATGTGGCTAAATGTTGCTTCATGAGAAGCATGGGGAGCAACAGTTTGAGATTAGGATAGGCCGGATGCAAGCATCCAGGAGAATAGACGCAGAAATGGTGGATAGTGAAATAGGGCATCATAGTTATTGAGTACATGAACAGGATAGGTGAGAGATGGAGAAATAGCTTAGCTAAGCTACCAAAGAATTGTGAGGAGCCGTGCTATCCTCAACGTCTGACAAATCGACGTCCTCTCGGGTATTCCAGTTTCTCTTTCGAAGATTCTAGTTCAGATGCCTAGGCGCTAAAGCAAAAACATCGTCGTCGTCACCCACCAGAGACGGAGTGGCATGACATCGGACCTCCAAAAATCCAAGAGCTTGGATACCTTGGAATCATCCCACTTGTAGCAAATTAAGATCTGCTCTCATTACAAGTGTGTGGTCTATTTTCTAACTATTTCTTACAATAGATTGTAGCATCATTCTCATTCCCCTGGTCGACAGTAATCCTCAAAGTACTGTGCGCTAGACCCAGGTATCAGATGCGCATGACATCATCAGTGATTCTATGGGAGTTCGTCGATGCATGCCCTTGTTACCGGTTACCACTCTGGCAAACATGTTCACAGTACAGCAACAAACGTGGCATGCAAATGTGAGACAGCTGAACAGTCGGTAAAACAAACCAACATGTCACAGACTCACTGAGTCAGAATGTTGCCGGAGCACGCGCGCCGGTATCTCAGGTACCTTAGTACCACTTGCCCCCCAAACGACTCGTTGGGCTTGCGCGTCAAAGCGCATCGGTCATCCGCTACGGACGCGGGAGGAAATCAGCCGATATCAGGTCCTCGGAGCCTTGCAGGTGTAAATCCCAGGTGTTACAATTGCCCAGGTGTCCACAGCCGTGCCTGTCAGCTAGCATTGACTGTGTGGCTTGGCGTCATCTCTGGCCTCATCTCCGTTGAAGGAGCCTCATCCCCACTATTACCCTTGGCCTGAAGAACCCCTCTTCCAACCCCTCTTCCAACCCCTCTTCCAACCACCCCACTACCGTACAAGCATTCCCCCGCATCCCCCTCCCCAGCTCTTATCACTCCCCCTCCGTCTGTCGGAGTAATCAACCCCGAGCCGGGGTCACACTGCCGTCGTGACTTCCACCCACCCTACCTTCAAGCTCCCCTTCATCGATCACCTCGGAACATCGGGGGTGGTGACCGGTCAAAATCACCCACCCCCCGTCAGACCGTATATCTTCAACAGAGTACACTGGCGGTCAGCAGACCCGCCTCATCCCCCGTCTGATTCCCCGTTCATGTCCCCCTCATCTCTTGGTGATTCCTCTCCAGACCCTGACGGTATTGACGTCACAAGTCAAACAGGACCCACCCCACGGTGTTTGTGCACTTCCACAATACCCCCCCTCCCTGACACAATCTGTACCCTTGCCCCTTGGCCAGTGGACCACCATCTGAAGAATTGTTACAGGGGGGGCATAGAGGGCAGATCTTTCAATTGGGACATTAGATTAATCACCCAGTCACCCATCCATACCCATCATCGCTACTGTGGCGTTCCTCTCCCAAATTCCGGGGGTGGTCTACCACACCCCATTTCCAGTCCCTATGAACCACCCAACTGTAGGAGTCGTTTTTGCGCGCGGGGTACCTCTCCACCCCCAACTTGGCACGCAGAACCTACAGTAGTACCGTCGTCCCGTACCCCTAAGCTCGGAGTTCACTTTACCGTCCCAATTTACAAGCAGCTTTATATGGACCCCCTGATCATAGGCTGCTTTACATTTGACGGTAGGGTACTTCGGAGATATTCGGGGGATCAGGCTGCTGATGCACGAGGGGTAGTACGTCGGACTGCACCTGCCAGTTGCCACACCGTGTGGCAGTACCCCTTCATGACCCAAGGGGTAATGTATGGTGGGGTACTACAACTTCATTGTGAGACCCCCCTGACGAAGTTACGCTCCCCCCATCAGTGATATCTAGTGCACATGGTACCCACCCCCTAGATTGACGATTAACCTCCGGATCGACGCGATATCTCCTTCAATGAGGCTCGGAATCAAGGAACTGTACGAGAGTGCTACTGGAGTCCTAGCGAGCTATAGATATAATGAACCACTAGGACTGAATTCCTACAGTCACTGCCTAAGGGGTCCTAGGCTCCGTACGAAATAGGTGTGTATCAATTAAATTATTTTAAAGAGTTTTTCTTTGGGAGCAGTGCGCTGATACGGTACGGTGGCCGGGTGGGGTCACAGATCAACCAGGTTTGGACTGATGGTGGGGTGGTTTAGAACAGTGAGGACCGGTAGTGTACAAGGAGTCACTGTGGTAAAGAATCTCAAGGGTGGGTGGCTCGGCGAGGATTGTACGATGAGGGGTGCATGACGCTGGTCGTTCGGGGGGGTTAATGGCCGAAATTTCTAGTTCGAGTGGGGTGGAGGTGATACGGCAGGTTTGCGACTGGTTGCAATGGGGGTGATTTTGCGAGAGAAGTAGGGGTATGAAGGAGGAACTGGGGGAATTGAAGGGGTCTTTTAGTCCTGCCTTGCTGTCGGTGGGGTTAACTCGTCCAAGAGTCAAACCGCTGGGTGGGGTCAAAGTCGGTTGCATTGGACAAGGGGTGGGTACCTGTAGGAAACAGGGTAGGGTGGGTAGTAGGGAGGGGGGGGGGAATGAAAGGATATGGTTCAAAAACAGGGTGCTGGCTGCTCGACATCGTGAACGAGTGAAAATAAGAGCGAGCAGGAGAATGAGAGAAAGAGCGACATTTGATGGGAGATGTGATAGGAAATGCGCAGTCAGCGTTAGGATAAGAAAGAGAGCGATGAGCAAGAACTCTCAGCTCGATAAGAGTAGAAATGCCTCGCCCACCCTCAACTCTACCTTTCTGACTCTATCGAATACGTCTCCCCCGGCCTTTGTTTTCTTCACTGATATTTGCTCTCCAGTGTTAAAAAAAAAAAACTGGAAATACAATGATGGAATCCAGCGTAGTCACAGTCAAGTAAGTCGAGCATTATTGCCTCTTCCTGCATTCACTCGCTTTCAACAGAATTCATCGAGCTGAGGGGCTCCTGTTACCCTCCAGCAAAGACAGCGCTGTGAGTGCTTTTGCCCCAAGTCTGGCGACCTGATCTGACTTCCTGCTTTCTGTTCAGCTTGCTGCTCAAGCATGCATTCGTGAAGTTGGCTCCGATCAGAAGGTAGCTGAGCATGTTTCGTTTTGCACTTCCCCTTACGCCTTCAACAGCCTTCCTACGGAACATCCTTGTGGACACAGCCCTGCCCTCCTTCAAGTAACCCTTGGTACGTCGTCATGATCGAATACCTTCTTCACTCATTAGCTTCTAGGTGGGAAAGTCAGCAGTTTGAGCTCCGCGTTCGTAATCCTCAAAACTCTCAGGTACATTTGTTGGCTTGCTACATAGTTCAACCCTTGACTGATTCACAGTTGATTCTAAGCGTATCGGACATCAATGCGGCAAATCCCGCGGATCGTTTCCTAGGTTTGCAACTGATTGTCGATGATCCACAGGTGTGCTGAGGTTTCCGCAGGCGAAGTCATCTTGAACATCCATATGCTCACTCCCTCTCGTTCTCCAATCCGCGACAAATTCAAGTTGACGCAAAGCCAGTATTTCAACACAGCAGTGCGAGGATTCATCGAAGTTTCTATCTGCTATAAACCGGCATCGTATCCCAGCCCACGTATTCTCCTCCAGCAGGACAGCCAGAGCATCGCCTCCGGCGCTTCGACCAAGCCTGCAGACGCATCAACGCCTCTGTCGACTGGAACTGTTGCGTCCAAGAACGAGGATTGGGCCTGGCAGCCTGACGATGTCAAGAAGCGATGTTCGGTGCGGTTTGAAGATGAGGTGATGTCAAAGAAAAAATCTGTCGAAACAGTTCAGCCTCAGCAGTCCAACTTGGAGCCGATAGCTGAAGTTGTCAAATGTCAACAGACGGAACCCGAGATGCCATGGGACTTCGTCGCGAAATTGTTAAAACTTGATACAATCAAGCTTCCAGTGTAAATATAGTGTGTCATTAAACAATTGAATCATTCATTTCTATTCCATTCTTCTGAACGCCAAAACTGCTCTCACGTTATAATGGTAGGCACAAAACCCACGAAGGTGACGGTTTTTTGTGTTGTTGTCAAATCCCACTGCATTCCAGCAACCAATCTCTTGTATGATTTTGCGCTCTTGCGCCACCTGCTCTCCCGTCAATAACATGATGCACGTCCAGTTCCGTCGTGCACCTTCACAGCACGGGCCACATCGCCAAGTGACGGGGCATCGTCCACGACAACAATCGTAGACTGATGGCTTGCCCTGGCCTCACACTCTCAGCTCAAAGTGCACAAACAGGCAGCACGCCGACAGTGATCAGGTCCTCACCTTCCGAACTCCACCATGTCATTCCAAGGCACGAAGTCGAAGTGTCCGCCGTCCACGTGGATCAGGTCGCACTGGGGGTGCCGGTCAGGCCAGGCGATCCAAGGGGTGGGCAGGACCTTTAGGTCGGGATGGGTAGAGACAAACTCCGGGACCGTCCACGACGAGTCCCCGTGGACCACTTCCAGTCTCCCAGGGAACCTTGACCCGAGGAAGCGCTCTCCAACCTCCTGCCCCCTGCGGCCACACCTCTCAGGCTGCGAGTCAAGCGAGACAATAGGCCTCACTTGAGTTTGGCCAGATCGAACGAGACGACGCGAAGGTCTCCATGCCCAGACAGCCATGTGACAGCGCTATGACCCGCTCCGAAGCCCTGGGCACCATGCTCAGCGCTTGGCGAGGGAGGCAAGAACTCTGAACCGTCTCGCAAACAGTGCGGATCTCTTGGGAGAGGGACAAGAGGTGGTAAAGCAGAGTCTGCTCATAGAGTTGTCCGCTCGTTCCTTCCATCCCTGATGGATCCATCGTCATCACCCCGAGAGCGTAGGAGGAGGGCACGCACCCATCGCAGGATCATCAGGCGAGGCTGCTCTCATTGCCTGATACAGCTCGCGATGCATCTGTTCGACTTGTTCCAGTCTTTTCCGGTCCTGCGAGGAGGAAGGCGGCAAGTCGAGATCAGGTTCTAAGATACGCAAGAGGACAAGGACGGATGAATTAGCACTCACAGACTCTGCTTGTGCCAAGGAAACCATCTTCTCGGTGAACCCGGCCCGGTTGTCATCCTTCCCTGCCAGCACAGCATCGACTGGTGAAGAGACGCAACCTGCTTGAACGCGTCGGCCTTGCCAAAGTCTCAAAAGACCACCAAAGGCCCTGCCGTCAGGTATCATTCATCCCCAGCTTTCAACTCACCGTCGGGCTCTCTTCACCTCAAATGCGAGTCCTGCGACCTCACTCCGCACTCCATCTCCTCCTCATCAAGAGCGTCGTCCTCTACCATCGACCCCAAGATCTCATCTGCATGCTCGCTCCTGCCTTGTTTAACCACCCTCCCCCTCCGCATGCTCTCCTTGATCTCCTCTTCTGTCCACTGCCGCCCATTGTCGTTGGAAGCAGGATCTTCGTCAAGGTCTTGGAGAACTGCATTCAAGTCATCCATCTGAAAGCTGTCGAGGAGCCTTGAGACCTCCTATAGTGACAACGTCGAACACGCCGAGGTAGTTCGAGCCAGGGCCTTTGCGCAGCAGTTGTCATGCCTCCTCTCAAGGCGATCGACGTACCGATCACGACGACAACGCAGTCATATACCATCTGCCTGATCTTGGTGATGTCCAGCTTGAACTGCTGTACTGGTGTGTTGGCCAAGGTAAAGTTAGCCGCCTCTTGGTTGTTGAGGAGGACAGTAGCAAAACATCCTTGCTCTAGCTGATCTCCTCCTGCCACCTGCCCCCCATCACATCGATCACTCCACCTCGTCATGAGAGTCTCAGGGAAGCACCTCGATGACAACCTGAAAGCTTCCTGGAACGATCGACAGGTCGGGAGGAGCCAACACTTTGACTCCGATCTTCTGCTCTTCCTCACGCGCCCAACTGCCCAGACCTGCCAGCATCGCAGCAAGCAGCGCCTTCCATGCCCTCCCCATTCTGCTCGCCTTGTCCCGACACAGACAGCGAACTTTCGAAGTTTTGCACGTTCGAAGTTTTAAACTTTCGACCTCCGCGGAAAGTATCAAACGGCGAACTTGGGTTCAACTTGCCACCGTGAACGGCGCGGCCGGCCCCGGCCCGGCGGGCCGCCCGGCGCCGCCGGACGGAGTCAGTCACTGGGTAACAGGAGGCTATCATGTAAGGATGATCAAATCACCCGGCTAAGTTCAGGGACCGTCCGACTCGGAGCCGGCAGTGGGGCGAGTGGCAACTGAGTTCAAGCCTCTCAGTGCTCAGTCAGCGGCTTCAGTGTCACGTGTAGTGTCCGATCAACGGTTCACGCCGGCACGGTACGGTATTGCACGCTCAGCTTATTTTAGCATCATGGCATCGCTAACGGAAACTTAAAGTAGAACATTGCATTATAACGGGTGACCCTCGCCGTGTGTCACTGAGTGTCGCCGAGAGGGAAGATGCCAGTGGAGTCACCGATGACCCGCTGAAGACGTCTGTGCAACCTGTAAAGCTCCGGGGGGTCACAACTGCAACCATCGATCGCCAACCCTGGCAAGACCAGGCGGCACACCTTCGCGATCCTGAGAGGGAGGCATCACGCTGACATGCTGTTGGGCGCGCTCAACGAAGCTTCCTCTGCCTCCAAGAGAAGCGACAGCTCCTTGGCTTTCGAGTAGTTGCCGCTCTGTATCGCCTCAACCGCCTCTCGCCGCATCTCCTCCATGCTCGTGTCCGTCCCAAAGTTGCCTGCCGTCGTGTGCACTTTCCCGGCTCCTGACAGAGCGAACCTCTCTCCCTTCTTCGCGCCGCACAACGTCAGTCCGCACAGCTCCACGAAGCAAGGGCTGGGCGGAAACTGGCAGTGGCTGTAGCAGCAGCAGTACTTGACGCTCGACAAGTAGCATCCCTCCGGACCACAGGGGCCAACGCAATCGCACGTGGAGTGAGCCTTGTAGCACAGGAGCTTTGATTCTGAGGTGCAGAGGTTGGGCTCGCTACATTTTGCACACCCGCATCCTTGGCAGCAACAGTAGCAGATGAAGCACCTGGATACAAGTACACTCTGCTTCAGAGCAAGGCAACCAGGAATGCGCTCCCTCGCACTCACGTTTCATCCAGGACCTGCAATGCAGTTCCTCCTTTAGACATTTTGAAGGCTCTGAAAGCAAGCAGGTCAATGACAAGATTGTTCACAGTTTTGACATGCCATATTGAATCGATGATTTTTCAAGGGAGATGTCAGCAGCAATGTCAAAACATGGAACAGGTCGCATTCAAAATGACAACATAACGCACGAGCTTCCACTTAAAATTCATCTCTTATTGTTCAGATTGAAGCATGCATTCTGATCACATTCAGTCTGATTTCTCATGATTTGATAGGAGAGTATTCATGATTCAATGGAGAGGGTAAAGAGAAGCTGCTTTTGATGCTTGAGGAAAAGAATTTGATACGCCTGCCATCGGTTGAAATGCCATATTCTTGTCATAACTTCACGAACTCGGAAAAGGCTCTCATGAGAAAAAGCGAGGAGAGGAGAAGAGGGAGACGAAGTGAGTCAGTAGCACTCTTGCTTGCAAGGTGGAGTAGACGCGCGTGTCGCGATGAGTTGCGCGAGGGAGCAAGGTAGACACTGAGCCAGAAGAAACAAGGGGGTCATGAACTTTCCGCCTGGGGGACTCCGGGGAGCTACCAGGGTGCCAGGGGTGGGTAGGGTCAGCAGGGTAGGGTCAATGTAAGGCGAATCCTAGCTAGACGGGGGGGTTCCGAAGTTCAATGCCACGGTTTGGCAGACCAACACCCACCCGGTGAGGTCCGATCAGTGCTCAGTGACTGGCAGCCCGGATCATGAGCCTACTAGCTTTGAGTAAAATATCTACAGCCTAGTAGGGCCCAGATCAGGCTAGTAGGGGCCGGGCGATCAGATAGGGCCCGGCGGCGGGCCCGGCCATCACGCCCCGGCCGCCCGCGGCGGCCGCCGGTCACCGCCACCACCGTGGCGGGCCCGGCCCGGGGCCCGGGGAGTGGCACCGTCCGATCCGGCATCGCCGTCGGCCGGGCGGCCCGGGTGCGCCTATCTGAACTCGAAACTCAAGGCCAGGAACTTGCCGCCAAGCCTAATTTGCCGCAGCCTGCCTCAGTGTCGAACGGCGGTTCGCCGCGGTCGCTCGGGGGACGGAACTCAGTGGCAACCGGCTTGAAGGCTCCGAGGGCATCCGAAGTTCCGGCGGACTCCATACCGTTCGGAACGGTCACCTGCCACCGAAACTAAGGCAAGTTCGGCGGCCTCGGGCCCTCATCATCCGGCGGCGCCGATCGGCGGTCCAGCGATCCGATCGACGGCCGCCGTTCGGACCGCCTCAGTAGCGTGCTGAGTACCTCACCGGGGAGGGAGGGCCTATCACTGTGACAGTGTCATATACCCCAGGCCCGGTGAACGGTACCCGGCGCTCAGCTGACTCGATGACTCAGACGGGCCGGGGAAGGAGAGACCGTAAAGAACTGAGATGGTTTACCTAAGGCTCCGCTCATCAAGCTCGAGCACTGCATGACTCTGAACCTCTTCCACTGTGACGAGCTCGAAAGAAGCGAAAGGTGGAGGAGCAGCCTCGGCTCCCAAGGAATTATGCAGAATCCAGGTGGGCTGTGCTCCTGCAAGATCCTTCACTTGCTGATCCATCGTCACGTGCTGCCAAAGAATTCAGACGTACTGAGCTTTCGTTTGCCATATCCTGTTTTTCTTGACATTGTCAAACTGGCTCGTGAAGAGAAATGAGTATGATGATCAGACCACCACCGTGTGTGGGCAGCCCATGCCGCCCCTTGAACTCATGATTCTTGGTGTTCTGCGTGTGTTAGGAGGAGGGTACAGTTTCAACAATTAATGATCCGTGAAGGGAATGGGGCATGTGAGGCATCCAATCGTAACTTTTTCCACAAGTTCTGTCGAAACATGGCAAAGCAGTATCCCAAGTATGTATACCCCCCGACCACGCCAGATGAAATCTTCAAAACCAGGGAAATGTACCGCAAGAAAGGTTTTCCAGGGTGTATCGCGTCATGTGACTGTGTACATATTCCCATGACAAGACAATTGCACGCTACGATTCATTCTTGCAATCCGTGCATCAGGGAGGTCGTTATGCGCAAGAAGAGTTTGTCTTGTATGTTGGTGAAGGTCGTGTACAAACTCACAAAGGATTGTGGATCATGGTCGATCAAGGCTATCACCGTTGGAGGGTGTTACAATGTCCTTTACCTTACATAGTCGATATTGATAGACGACAGTGGTCTCGAGCATTGGAATCATGTCGGAAGGATGTGGAATGCTTTTTTGGAAGATTGAAGATGCGTTTCAGGTGTGTGAAGATACCGTGCAACTTTTGGTACAAGGATGAAGTGGACAACATGTTCGTGACATGTTGTATTCTTCAAAACATCATACTTGCGCATGATGCACAGACGTCGGATGGTGCAGAAGCCGCCGATGTTCAGGTTGAAGTTGAAAACAGAGAGGATGCAGAAGCCGCCGATGTTCAGGTTGAAGTTGAAAACAGAGAGGATGAGGAATATGATGGTATTGCAATTCACATGATTGCAATTCACAAGGAATTCGGGATTGTATCGGTTGTTTATCAAATCTTTAGTATCATGGTAAAACTCCATGATACTGGATCCTGGCCATGGCTGATTTCTTGATTTGTACAACAACAACTCCTCTGTCAAACCTGGTATTTCACTGCCATGCTGCTGGAGGAAATCACGAACATGCTTAGGATATGCTTCTTCAAGTAAGACATGCAACTCTGTAATTTTCCGTAGTCCTCCATCTGACACATCAAGGAACGTAAGACATGCAATAAGCCTCCCGTAAGGCTTGGCTTGTGAGGGTTTCATGCTGCCTGGTCCCGCTGGTGCCTGCATGGAGCCACTTCCCTGGTGCGCGGGAACCTTTTAATTTTCGAAAATTTGAAATGCTCGAATAAAGTGCAACTTCGACAACCTCAGATTTTTAATTTTTCCTTTTTCCCGGCCTCCGAATAAAGATAGCCTAACTAGGAAGTTATACCCAGTGACCGCCATCCGTACGGTCGGAGTACGCCGCGCCGTGACTGGCGAGCCTGAGAGTCGATGACTCAGTGATACCGTACGGTAGTCACTACTACGGTACTGCGGTACTACGTGACCTTCGGACTGGAAATATGGACGGTGACAGGTACGGACGATGCGGCCCTCGGTGTCGGCCCCCTACTCCTAGCGGCGCTCAGTAGTACTACTGCAGCCTAGTCGGGCTCAAGCCAACAGAAAGTGAAGAGGCGCGATTTTTGATAGTAAAGCGATGCAAGGAGAAAGCTTGCAACCGACACTCAGTTGAAAAGAAGTCTTTCCGACTCTTACGGATAATGTTTGTTACTGTCATAGTCCAACTTACTGCACCCCTTTTGTTTCCAAAGTTCATTTTAGCTATTTCGGCGGACCCCGAGGGTCGCAACTTGAAGTGACTAGCCTAGTAGCTCGGAGGGGTTCAAAGTGACCAGTTTCGGAGGATCCGAGGGGTCGTGATGGGCTACTATAAAAGGAAGACTTGCAGCGCAAGTCCCCACCGTGAGAGGCAGCACAGGCTTCATCAAGCATCTTCTTTGCTTGCTGGTCAGCCCACCGTGTTTGTTGTTGAGACATCAAGTCCCTCTCCTCTTAGATATGGAAAGTGTACCGGAGCTGAAACCTGGTTGCAAGGGATTCTGTGTTCTGTTCAGAGTGCCCAATGCGGCGACTGATAAGGTAGACAAATTCTTTGATGGTCACCAGGCTTTCATGCGAAAAACTCACCCAACCTCTGGCACTGAAGAGCCAGTTGTGATCTCGTACCATGTGATGCGATCACCTGAGTTGGTGAACAATTTGGATCCGAGCCAGGGGACTACGGGATTCACCATGTACTCGATGGTGGAAGCTTATCGTAGTATGGAAGGGTGTGCCAAGCACATGGAGCTCGGACAGAAGACCGGAGACTTGTTCAAGGAGCTCGTCGAGATGATCAGTGCGTATTGCAAGGTTGCGCTGATGTTCGGAGGCGTTATCGGAACTATGGAGGTTGCCATTCAGAACATTAACAGTTCGATCACCAAGGGCACAATGGGCTTTCATGGCTACTTCCGGGCGACGAACGATGAGGAGGAGACCTTCCTGGACAAGTTCATAGTCGAGCACACGAACTTCATGAACGAGACCCATCACATCACTGGTGATACAGAACCTCGTCTCCTTTACTTCGCATGGAGCAAGACAGAGGAGCTGGTGAATCCTGTCAATCCGGAGGAGGGCAAGACCGGGAGCAAGGTCTACTCCCTGGTCGAGATATATCGCGGTGATGCGGGTTGCGCAGCTCACATGGAGGCTGGGCAGAACTCTGCGATCTGGAGCGATTTTGTCAAGGCACTGTCGTACAGCCCTGGAGGCATATTCGGTGGGACTGTTGTCTGGACCATCTGAATAGAAGAGGTCTGATTGGTCTGCTCCACGAGGAACTTCAAGACTCTCCCGTCAACAGCTGGATCTATGCAACGGCTCACGTCTCTCAAGAAAGACGGAGAAGAACAAACTTGGTTAGAGTAGACTAAAGGCAGTAGAAACACGAATACAAGACACGGAAATCGATCCACTGCGCTGGGTTCTCAGAGGCGGTCCGACTGTTGGCCAACCGCCGCGGTGCCCCCGTTGGTGGCCATCAGGCTGCCTGGATTCAGCCCTCAGCGGCACTTGGACTCAGAACCCAGGCTGCCACTGCCGCACCTCGGAGCCGCCGAAGTTGATGGTGGATTTGCCAAGTTGTTGCGTGGCGACAACGTAGAAGCTTCTGGATGTTGCCACTGCCAGGCTTGCCGCAGTGCCACTCAGACTGTGGCCCCCTAACATAGACATGATCCGCGGCCGGTCCTGATCATCATCATCATCCGGTGACCGGCCGCCGGGCCCCGCCGGGGGGGGCGCGGGGTGAGCCGCTCGGCGGGCCGGCCGCCGTCCGACGGTCACTTCCTGATAGCCTACCGTACTCTTCGTACTAGTGCCCCGGCCCGATAGGTTATAATCGGCGGCAGCAGGCTGAGGCGGGGGCCCGGCCCGGGGCCCGGCCACCGCTTCCATGTCCTCCCTCATCCCCCCACCCACCCAACCACAAACAGTGGCCGCCGACTGAAAATGCAAGTAGGATATATCGATGAACGACAGGGACAGGGACAGGGACAGGGGCAGGGCAAGCAACAGGAGCAGAAGGCACTTTTAGGAGCAGGAGCAGTTGCATCAGAGAAGGAGCAGGAGCAGGATGAGGTGTATCAGCAGGGGCAGGAGCAGAGAAGATGTCCACGGATGAAGCGAAGATCGTGGGACCATCGCGTGGAGGATCAGGATGTTTTGCTGTCAATTTTTACAAGCCGCAGAGGAAAAGTAGACAAGTGCACGTGTCAGAGTTGAGGGCGTACGTGTCACACGCGGTAGGAGGTAGAGGTCCCAAGGGCTCAATGGAACGTTGAGTTTGAGTCACGCTGGATGCGCAGGTTGGAGCATGAAGGCCGTCTTGCTGCTGGCGCTGGTGCTGGTGGCGAGAGCCCCGGGCGCCACAGGCTTTGCGCAGCTCTTGTCTCGTCCTTCTTTCTCATCAGGAGTCAGGACGGTACTGCTCTGGTCATGCGATCTTCCCACGTGTCTAGTGAAATCTGCATACAGGCCCATGTGCGAAAGTGGAATATGCAGATGGAGGGAGATAAGAGCGATCGGATGTCCCGGCGAGCTCTCAGCACGCTGCTTGGAGCGAGCATAATCTACTCTCTATCTCCAGATGTATCCTCACATCATCGCATCGTGTCTCCAAAGGTCCTGAAGGTTTCCCTCAGGTCGCGCACGCTGGAATCACTGAGATAGTGACTGGGACGTCGAAGAGGAAGGACACTCTAGCAAGGATCAAGGTAGCGGTAGGTCGAGGGGACTCTGTCTGACAGACATGCTTCACCTCAGGCAGGCGACGTGTGGCTCCCCAGGCTGAGTTGCTTCCCACCAGAGCCCTGCATGCAGCAGACTACGGACAAGTGGTGAGCCAGAGTCAGATGGGTTTCAAGGGTCGTCACTGGTCTAACGCCCGTGCTCTCAGGTACGACTTCCCTCCGACTGTCGATGGGTATACGTCGACTCCGTCAGGCCTCAAAGTGAAGCCTCTCCCACCCCTTGAAGGTCTGCGCTTGCCCTCGACCTGCTGACAAGCTGAGAAGCCTGTTGTGGATGCGTCAGAGATGAAGGAGGTAGTTACTCAGGCTCCTTTCCCCACCGAAGCTCAGGGGACTAGCAACATCCAGATCATCTGTGCTGGGTGAGATAAACGGGCAGCTCGAGTGCTCCCTATTGAACGATTGCAGCTACATCCTAGGAGCAGCGACCGAGCAGCAGATCAAAGATTACCTTGATCCGCAAAGCAAGTCCAGCAAGTACTATGACGTCAGCAACAGAGACCCGCGATTGTTTCAGGTCTGGGCAGAGCTCTCTCTTGCGAGAATGGTGACGCTCTCGGCATGTCAGCTTGATTCTGTCTTGGTGAACGTGGACAAGTCGACACTCATCCCTGGTGAACTATCTGCTGAGATGCCCATCAAGGTTGACGGCCTCAACTGCAGGACTCAGGGAAGGTCTCAAGGGCATGCGGGTAAGATAGGATGGGAGAGCTCTGCTGGATGACTCTCATATTCAAAGATCGGAGAGCGCAAAAGCTTTATCGTCCCTCCGGAGCTCGGCTACGGCGAACAGGGATCGCCGAAACGACGAGGTTTCATCAGAGAGGTTCGAGAAATTGTGGCTGGCCGACCGACTTGGCTGAAAGGCTGGCAGGTCCCTCCAAACTCTACGCTGCTCTTTAACATTTGGGTCCTCAAAGCTGTAAGGTGAAGGAAAGACCTTGCTACAACTCCCTCGCTCGCGCCCCTGTTCCTTTCGGCATCCCTCGTTCAGCTGCTGACGGTCAAGGTGACTACGATGAGACCCGGATTACGTCTAGGATGCTCTCAAGCGAAGTGAAGTTGAAGCGTCGAGCGAACATGTAGTAGCAAGTGTGTGTCATCAGAAAGTACGGGCAAACATTCGCATAATATTTTTGAAAATTGATCGACATCCATTGGCAACATCTATCACTCATATTGTCATTTCGATCAAACTCAGCTTTGGCAGTCATGTTCGCGCCATATGCTGATAGCTTCAAGGCTTCTCCGCACATGTGCCAAGCGGAAAACTTGGATGCTCTACCATGCGAACCTCATGCTCCTGCTCCATGATCACTCTCCCATCCTGCCCGAGGATACTTTTGAAGCGGAATTGCTTGTACTTGAGCTGCGTCCTCATAATCAGCCAGAATCTTTACTGAGGTCGACCTACCGCGTCCTCCCATGATCGCGTCTCGTCCAGGTGCACGAACCTTGGGTTCACCCACACGAGTCCAGCATCAAGACACTTGTTGAACACGCTAACTTTCATTGGTCAAACGCCTGCATCTCCCAACCATCCTCACCTCTCGAAGTCTGAGATGTACATACACATGTGATCTCCTGTGTACGCCGGCATCTCCTGCGTTTCATGATACTCCATGGTCTGACATCAAAGCAGGTCAACCCCCACCCGCTGAGAAGCTGCAGCCACAAGTTCATGCACGTACTCACCTGGCAACCTGCAAGTCCTCCTTCGATGATGGCTTTCCGTCCTTCCACTCTTGTCTTCATGTTGAGGTAGGACTTGTAGAAGTCCGCAACCTCCTGTCATAGCAAGTCAGGGCGACAGCAACCGACTCCACTCCTCCACCTTTGCCGCTCCATCAGGACAGGGGAGCACGACTGATGCGATCCCAAGAGGCTCCGATCCCTCCGAACCTTTCCTCCTCCCGTTCTTCTCGTCCAAGCCCTCGGCCTCCTAGAAGGGAGGGTAACAGTCAACCTCCGGCTCCAGGATCGTGTTCACCTACATGTCTTGTCGCTTCTCTGAGAATAAATTTGTTTCCAAAGGGACACGTAACGCGCAGGACGCCATCTTCATCTTCGACGGTCATGGCTGTTCCCTTCAAGTCCGTGGACGCTAGATCTCTCAACCGGTTTGCAGCTTGAATAACCTCTTTGTTCGTCTTGTAGACAAGAACAAGGTGTCCCCGCCATATCTGCGACCCCTCCTCGGCGATGTAACTCTCATGCTCAGGCCCAGCCGTGTGAAACTGACAATGAGCGCCGACATTGCAATGCAGAGATTTGCATTTGGCAGCACGGAACGGGTCCTCGCAGCATCCGAGTCCCCTTATGTAGAAAGACCTCGCGTGGGAGGAGCTCGCAACATTCAAGTTCACATGCTCCAGCAACAGAAGCGAACCTTCCGCTAAGCTCGAGCAGCCGGCGCTCATGTAGAGGAAGAAGAGAAGGCAGGGGAGGATCGTAATGGTGATGAAATCCTTTATGAGGGCGAACGCTACATTGAAGTGTTGTAGTCAATAATTGTTCCTTTATTGTCAAATAGCACGCATCTATTGTCAAACTCTCGGGGCTCACTGGACAGCCGTCATGGCAGGCCTGCGATGGTTCGCATCGGTCGCCATGCAGCTGTTGATGATCCTATGCTTGTGAGTGAGAGAAGCACGCTCCTCTTCCACTCCTGCTCGTCCTCTCCTCCTCAGTCCTCCTCTTTCTCTTCCTCTTCGCCGGGTTGCCCATCCTCATCCGAAGATTTTGAAGAGTCCTGGCAGTCCTCGCACTCTCCCTCTCCCTCTCCCTCTCCCTCCTTCACTCGGCTTTCATCTCAGTGACCATCTCCTCACCCTCTTGTGTTGTTTCTTTCCCTCGTCGATTGGAGCTTGAGCTCTCACCCAGCTCACAACGCTGATCATGTTCTTGTGCTGGCAGGGTTCGCCGTAGCAGCTCGCAGTGTCGGTTCGGGGCTGTCTTAGTGAATGGAGTGAATGGAAGTACGTGCTTGTGCGATCAGGGCAATTACGGAGATGCAGCTGCCTGCTTGCCATGTCCCAAGGGAACCTACAAGTCTGAGGTCGGGACGGCCAGGTGTAGAGACTGTCCACTATTCTCAGACTCTGAGAAAGCGAGCATCTCGCCCAACAACTGCAGTTGCATCACCGGATACACCAAGATCAGTGGGGAATGTTTCCGATGCCTCGCCCCAGACAACTGCGCGAAGATCGTGTCAACGAGGGAGAAGATCGGGGTCTGCGGCAACTGCTCCCTGTACTTCCAATACAACGACAGCGGGCTTCACGTCGATGTGGGTGCAGCCGATTACCAGGAGACGCTGGGTGGGGAGAAATTCTGCTACTGCACATACCTCGATCTCTCCAACAGGTACCTCGCAAAACTCGGCCCCTCGGTCTTCAGCAAGATGAGATTCTTGGAGCGTTTGGATCTGTTCGGCAACTACCTGGCCAGCATTTCAGCTACGGCTTTCAGCAACCTCCCGTACCTGAAGCAGCTCTATCTCCAGGTGTCCTCTGCCACCTCCCCGCTGATGCTGACACCCGCACAGGGCAACAAGATGCGGTACCTCCCCCCGGGCCTCTTCAACAACCTCACAAGCCTCGAAGGCGTCTACTTGGTGAGATCAGTTCTGATTGCGGAGAAGATTGTCATGACTTCTTGTTCCTTTCAGGATCAAAACAGTCTCATCGTCCTCGAGCCTGATGTATTCTCCGGACTTGATAATCTGAAAACCATCTACTTGGAATCAAATAATCTGGAAGAAATTTCGTCCAGTCAGTTCCAAAACCTGGGTCAGCTACAGACGCTGGAGATTTCTTACAACTACATGGTCAACTGCTTGGACTTGCCTAATGTGACAGTTTTTCAGACAGGATGCAGTAGTCCTTGAAATTCCAACATATTGATCGTAGCCATGAACATGGGTTGCAACGCTGCAGAATCAGGAGAATTTGGAATCTTCTCCACAATGTTCGTGTTTACATCGATGTTTCCATGTAATGTTCATTTAATTTTGTAACAAAGTATTCGAGTGACTAGGCTCCAATGTCTGAACGATGCACAGTCGTAGGGCCCGATCATGTATTGCGAGACTAGGGAGCCGAGGTCATGTTTTGCCGTTGAAAGACTTCGAGGGCAGTCTGAGTTCCCGTCAGTCTTGTAAAAACTTGAGTGCAGCGTCCGGGCTTCAGATCGCCAGATCCTTGGATCGGGAAAACCATGGGCCCTGGTGGAGCTCCGCCTTCATGGCTGCCTTCTGTGCGCGGCTCTTCTCCAACCGCACATTCTTGACGGCCATCTGCTGCTGCTTCTTGTTCATCGCAGCCGCATGCAGCTGCATCTTCTTGTACCGGTTCTCCAACGACTCAAACGCTGACCATTCGTTCGCAGGGCTGGTCTCAGCCGCTGCCCCCAAGCTCACAGGACGCACAACCATCTGCTTCTGCTTCGGCGTCACTTTCTCCGCCCCGACTTTTCGCGAGTTTGCCTCTCTAGCATGCAGTGCAGCTTCAAACCCCTGCTCGTATGCTCTTGCAAGCGCCTTGTCCGTCGCCGATAACTGAGAAAGTCGGTGCTTGGGAGCGGCGCTCGGGTGAGCCTTAGGAGCTTGGAAGAGTTGCTGGCTGCTGCTGCTCTTCTCCTGCGCTCCTCCTGAACTTTCACCGCTGCTCTCCCCAGCTTCTGCCATCGGCGGAGCAGCGAAAGTAAACAGAGGCGAAACGACCTGCTCTGAATCATACTGTGGTTGCCCCGAGTACTTGACAGGCCCACTAGGATTGCCGACAGAGAGGAGACGAGCATAGCAATACCTCATCTCTGCTTCTGTGACAAAGTTGGTCGTGCAGAACTGGAAGAGAAGCCCTCGCTGCTTCCTCGGACTCAACGGCAGCCCGTTTGATCCCAACCACATGTGATACATGCTGTCTACTTGCGGCTTGTTAGAATTTCCCCCAAAAGCGTACAGACACATCAGTGCAACCGAGCAGGCAGCACTGAACGTGGAGAGAGCGATCCTCAACCATCGCTGGCGGTCGGGGGACGTCGGCGACGCCATGCCGCGACATGGCTGCGTCATGCTCCCTTCGATATGGCGCGACCTCCGGAAATAGAAGAAAGGGGGTAGGGTGCTGTGACTTGAGGGGGTGCCAGGATGTGTTGGTACAAGTTGGGTAGGGGGTCATCAAGTTGTGAAGCCAGACCTAGGGGTTTGAGATTATGTATCAAATGGTGGGGTACTTACCTGTATTTTAAAGGGTACATCATGCTCAGTCAGGGGTTACCAAACACATGCAGGGGTAGTGGGTTCCACAGCTAGTGATGTAACGAACTGTAACGACATTGGGAGCCGGGGCGGGCCGCCGGCCCAGTCAACTGGACTCCGGGGTGCACGTAAGGTTTGTAGTCAAGATTTTCTATATGCATACCTGTAGTCAAATTGTCGCTGCCATGCACATGGGAATGTGCTGCCAAGCGAGAGGCGGAGAAAGTTCGAAGGTGAAGGAGGAGGAAGAGGAGGAGAAGGAGAAGGAGAAGGAGGAGAAGGAGGAGAAGGAGAAGGAGAAGGAGCAGGAGGGGAATCGGGGAAGTTGGGGAGGGGAGGAGTCGATCAATGAAGGGCATCAGGGAGCCAATTTGAGGAGGAAGGGCAAGAGAACGAACAATCACATTCGAAGAAAGGGCTCATGGAGGAGGAAAGTCGCTTAGGGTTACTTGCCCCTGTCCATGCTCATATCGCTATTCTGTCAGGGAGGGAGCGACAAGGACAAGGTGCATCGGTCGGTGAAGCCACTGTACAGCTCGAGGTCTGGCTGTGATCTTGAGAGGAAGGGAGAGGTGTTGAGTGCTGATACAGGCAAGTGGAAGAGAAGGAGGAGGGCGACGAGACGATGGGCATGCATACCAGCTTGGAGAGCTGTGGTGTGGGGATAGTCTTCAGGATATCAGAAGCAGGGGACATGGTGATCGAGGACTTCATAAGCGGTCAGGAGCTCGCGCCATCCCTTCCGCCTCTCACCCTCTTGAGCGCAGGAGGACCCGCAGAGCGATCGGGGAAGCTCAAGGTCGGCGATCAGCTGAATCGTGTGGACGGAAAGTTCGTGCGAGGACAAGCTGCGAGCAAGATCGCTCCCAAGATCCTTGGCCCTGCCGGGACCATCGTAGAGCTCGCGTTCAAGCGAGTTCAGGGCCCTGCCGTCATGACGGTTAACGTGGCTGTGGTACGAGAGCCGGCTGGGGGGCAGGCCGCGCGACGCTGACGGAGGGAGCGGAAGCGTCAGCTGCACGGGAAGCGACGGGATGGGGATGTGAATATGAGGGCTGCGAGAATCAGGTTGTGTAAAATATGATGGATGCAAAGGACGCGGAGGAGGCCGAAGAGAAGAGAGGAAGAGGAAAGAAAAGGAGGAGGCAGAGGCAGGAGAAGGGTGAAAGGAGCAAGGGAGTAAGCAGGAAGGAGCAATGGGGTATCGATGAGTATGTCCGATGGTCACATGCTCTCTTCCTTAAGAAGTTATGCTTGGCACTTCACCCACCCATCGTGAAGTCTACGCCTGCCTACGGACCATTGTGAGCTCCTTCCCCCTGCCCCTCCCTGTTAACCTCCACGCGCTAGTCCGTCGAGTCGCCTCAATGGCCTTCCTGGTCCACCTGCTCGCTCTCAGACTCAACATAGTCTTGCCCTACCCTTCCATCTCCTCTGCCCCCTCCTTCCCCTCGCTTTTCTCAACCACTCACCTCTATCTGAGACATGTTGCCCATGGAAGCGAAGTCAAACAAGGGCAGCGTCTCGTTGCTGAACGACCTGCAAGGTGTCAGCCTTAACTGGAGGGCAGCTGGACCTTTGACCCGTCGCTGTGCAAGAAGACCATCCGGAAATCTGTCGTGGGTGAGGAGGGAAGGAGGAGGAGACAGTCACCTGAGAAATTGACTGTGCTGCCAGTAGGTCCCACTGAAAAGGGAGAGACTCATGGAGGGAATAGCGGGAGGGAGGCAGGAGCAGCAAGGGATGAGACTTTGACTGCATTACCTCTGAATGTTACATTTCTTGAATCAGCTGATTCTCTTGGGTATTCCTTTTGATGACGTTGATCAGAAGCGATGAAAAGAGATCAGGTTTGAATTCTTACTTCATATTCTCCCTCCTCGTCTTCGTCCTCCTCGTCTTCCTCGTCCTCGTCTTCCTCGTCCTCGTCTTCCTCGTCTTCTTCCATCTCATCCACAACCTCTGCCCTTTCTATCCCGTCCATATCCACATCCTCCACGAACCTACTGTAGTGGAAGGTCAGCAACATGGAGCAAGGAGAGATGGGAGCGCGGGAGTCGAGAAATGAGACTGGCAAAGGAAAGGGAGAGGAAGAGGTGGAAGGGGGGAGGAGGAGGGAAAAGGGGGAGCGAGACGGACCTTTGTCCTTCGATAGGTCGGAGTCTTCGGTGCTCTTCAGAGCATTCTGTCATGAGCTCGAAGTCGCTCTCCATGCTCCCCCTCGTTCCGTTGAGGTCCACTGCTTCGCTCGTCGTCTTGTTGCTCTCCCGCTCGCCATCAGCTCCTGGGGACTCGTCAGGCGTGCCAGTCAAATCCAGCACACGAGCGACCGGCGGGGGATGAAGAGTTTGAGCCTTTGCCGTCCTGTTGACGCGAATGACCACCAGTCAACGTGCTCCTTCAAAGTGACTCACCGCGGACTGCTCCTTCCGCAGCTCTCTCCACTCCGCGATCCTCCGAGCCCTGAAATTTGATGTGGGATCATCTCCCTCCCGTTCTTGCCTTCCCCTTCCTGCCTCCCCGCTCTTTTCCGTTTCCCCCTCCCCGCCCTGCCTTCCTGCCTGCCAGCCTCCTGCCTTCCTGCCTGCCAGCCTCCTGCCTTCCTGCCTGCCTGCCTGCCTCCTCCTGTGCTTTGTCTCCTTGCCGTCAACGCACCTGTACTCTCCGATCTTCTGTTTCAGAGCCTCTTGCGGGACGAGCTGCTCCTCTGCGCTTGCTCTCAACTGCTCCAGCAGCACGCATGCGCAGCATGAGGTACCGGTCAGAGGAGCGCGGTTGAAGGGGTCGTGGGGATCCGTGAGGAGGTGCCGGGTGATGACGACGCGGTCAGCGATGATTCCCGAGGAAGGCAGACGGACGGGGTCGACCATGAGGGTCTACCACTCGCATCAGTCTCTCAGCTCTTGACCTCTCCCACCCTCTGCCTGCATCAGGGGATCCAAAAACTCTTCATCCGCCCCATCGATCAGCACGTCCTCGTCCATCTGCCACAGGAGACTTCAGTCCCGTTCCCTTGCGTCTCCTCCACCTCCTCCCCTGTCAGGAGGTCTACCTGCTCCTCTGAGAGACTTGCGATCTTCCCCCAGATCTCCTGGAATTTCCTCCTCTCCTCCTCACTCAGCACGCTCTTCTTGGACAAGAGATCGCCTGAGAGGCTTTTCAGCTGCGACTCACATGGGAAAGAGGCGCATGTGCGACGAGGGGAAGGCGAAGTGAACTGAGTGAGAAGAGGGAAGGAAGAACAAGGAGAAGGAAAGAAGCGGCAAGATGGGAAGGGATAGATGAGTCTTGGAGAAGAGGAAAGCAGAGGAGAGGGGGAGGGGAAGGGACGTACAAGTCTTGAAGAAGAGAGAGGGAGAGAGGAAGGGAAGGCGAGGGGGAGGGGAAGGGACGTACAAGTCTTGAAGAAGAGCTTCTCGTTGAGCAGCTGCGGGTCCTTCACAAAGACGGCAAGAAACTTCTCGTGTGCGCTCATGGCCAGCAGGGACCTGCCTGCGTTGAGACACGCATGGTGCACAAACAGGTTATGCACCTCAACGAGAGGGTCAGGATGTGACGAGGCTCAAAGCAGAAGGCCTTCGGGTCCTTGATCTTCAACTTGCTGCAGGACTGACCGACAAGCCGGTCGACCATTCTCACCATGAAGGCTGAGTAGACGTCAGAGAGGGAGGTGAAAGGGAGGAAAAGACATGGAGAGGGGGAGGAAGAAAGGAGGAAGAGAGGGGGGGGGGTGGGGGGGGGGGTGTAAAAAGTTAAGAAAAGAACCTGGAGTGTTCTTTGGAAAAATGGTAGAAAGTTTCTGGTTTTA